GGAATGCTTCACTGTATAATTTCAGTTAATCTTTGGAGAACCTGGGAGTTAGTGCTTTAGGAAGGTTCAGGAACCATTCTGACATCAGTGTCAGCATAGCATGGAAGTGGCAGGGCTGGGATTTGAAATCCACTTGCTCTGGCTGCAAACCCTGCATTCCTCCCAGCCTGCCTCTGTCTTCTCTTTCATCTTGTGCTGACCCCCCGTTGGTGACTCCACCTCGGCCACTGGGCCGTCCTGCCATTCCTCACATAGGTCACGCATGACCCTGCCTCAGGGTCTTTGCCTTTGGGCTCCTCTCTCTGGAAACCTTCAAAAGCTTTGCTCCTTCACTGCACTCAGTCTCAGCGCGAATGCTATTTCTTCTCAGGGGCCTTTCTGGGGGAGGGACCCGTGCCCATCACTCTGTTTCCTCACCCTGCTTCACCTCGTCACAACCATCGCCACCAACTCTGTGTGTCTCACCACGCCAGGCTGCTGGGGACTAAGCACTGAATGAGATAGATGTGGTTGTTAGAACTTACATTTTTAAGGTGGGGAAAATAATTTTAAAAATGCATAAATAAGATATTTTCAGGTCCTGACACCCTGGCCCACCAGAGGCGTCTTGCCATAATACACTGGCTTCCTGTTAAACAGTATTTGTCTATCTCTTCTGTTAAAACTTTACACTGAAGATTCATGATAAGTATTTGCTAAATGAGCGGTTGGATGGATGGATGGATGGTTGGTTGGATAATCTAAGAACAACATGATGCATATGCTGCAGCAAGAAGAGAAGGCATAGGCTTTGGGGATCGACGATCTGCTTAGAATTCTGACCTTAAACCTTCTAACTGCGTGACCTTGGCCGAGCCACTGCCAGCAAGCTGGTGTGGTGTTCTAAGCCCCCGTTTTCTTATCTGTAAAGTGGGATGAATTTCTGTCTTACAAGGTGAACTGTGAAGCTCAGATCAGGTTTTCCATGTCAGTGCTCTGTAAACTGCAAGGTTTACCTGGCTTAAAATTGATTTTCAAAAAAAGTAATGCAGCAACACACATTTATTGTTCAGGCCAGGCACACTGTCACTCACTAGGGGAACAAAAATGACAGGATCCCTACACTCAGGAGTTGGGGAGTCGCACCTGCCTTGCTCTCTAGATGGCAACTAGAGGGCAGAAGCCAGCCTTGTTCATGTCTCTGTCACCCACAGCTTCCCTTTGCTGCAGCTTTCTTTTATCTGGAGGGTACAAAATAAATGTTGGTTGAATTTTGCTTTTTATTTGGGAAAATTGCCTTGGATGTGTTGTACTTTTTCATGTCTTATGTGGCAAAAAAGAAAAGGACTAGGAAATTCTATAGATATGTGCACGTATCTATCTATATGTTGTGCATCCTTGTATAGCACGTGTGTCAATAACATAACATTTACTGAGGCCAGATTACAGGAAAATCTTTATACAGGTACTAGTGGATTGTCAAAAGAAAGAGAATAAAAGGGGCTTCATTCTTAAGATGTTTAAGTTCTAAACTGAAGAGCCTGCTGTGTGTAACAAAGGCTGGCAAACATTCAATTTAGCAAAAATTATACTATGGAAGTAGAGTTTCAGTGAAAAGTCTGAATGCAGGGCAGACTGTGAGAAGCACCGCGGTACTGGCGCTGTGTCCTGGAGACCACACGCACCATAGGAAGAGAGCTCAGTTCACACTGGGAAAAACATTTTGGTTATGACCTGAGTTGGAAGGCTGGACCTGCCGCTTACTAGCTGGGTGACTTTGGGCAAGTCACCTAATCTTTCTGAGCCTTAGTTTTCTTCTCTCTAAAAGGTACGTATTAATAGCACCTACCTCATAGGGTCGTCATGAGGATTATGGTGGTATATGTGGTGCATTAGCACAATGCCTGGCCCATAAGGGCACAATATATGGTGGCCTTCTAATCATATGGAGCAACCTGACTTAGCGACATGGGTTGCAGATGCTGCTGTTGAGGGCCTCGCTAAGGAAGAAGGCAGAAGTCAAAGAGCACTGTGGACCTGAGGCCCATGGCCTGTTTAGATATTTCATCCGAGTGTTGCATCCATGCAGTCTGGAATGACTGTTCTGAAAACTCCAAGTGGCCAGAGCAGCAGCAGTGATGGTTCCGCTCGGACCATGGTCTGCACCCTCAGAGTGCATCCTGGGTGCCCCACGTCCAAGTGGCCGTGGATTCACACAGCCAGAAGCAAGTGAACAAGGACGGCAAAAAAGTGGGAACCGTTTCTTCCAAGAAAAAGCTGACATTTATGTGGGGTACCCTGGCCAGAAAAACGGAGACATGATGGTTGTGTTCTTAGATCTGCCATGTGCAAGAGAGAACAGTCACTCTGTGTTGCCCCAAGGAGCCGAGTGGGGAGCAGAGTGGCTACAGGCCTAGGTCATGGGGTCAGAGAGATGTGAGTGGGTGCAGTGGGTGGGAGAAAATGTTACTTGGTGAGATGCCTGTCCTTTTTTTCAAGGCACTTCTAGTCCTCTCTTCCTGTTGGTGACCTTGCTTTTGTCTCTCCGGTGTTGGGAGGGGGCAGTATGGAGGGGAGGTATAGCCTTCAGGGAAGTTCCTCCGTGACTTGCACTCTCGTGGGCAGGTGTTGCACTCTTGGCCCGTGTGGTGTTTCGAGCCAGCTCCTCTCCAGAATGTTACTGTGAGTTCTTCAGAGAGTGTCCCACCAATCACTGGGGGTTCTGACCTGCAAGAATAGGCCCTTCTAAAGACTCCACAGTTTTAACAAGGCTGATCCTGGCACAGACAAATCGGGGAGAGGGAGAGTATTTCTCTTAGTTCCCTGTTTCTGTTGAAAGGGAGGGAGTGTATGCATGACTGTGTGTGCACACATGCCTGAAAGATTAACTAGATGTGCATGCCTTGCTAGGAAGACCAGGGGTTGGCCCAGACCAACAGAAATTGCTGTAGGTGGTATGGTTTGGCGGAGGAAGGGGCTGCAAATTTTAGTAAATGCCGTTCCAAGTCAGCCACGACTGTTGCTTGGAAAGATGTGCCAAGACTTGAAGGGATTAGAATCTGAGAGGAGACATTCTGGAGAGTCCAGAAAAGAATCCTGGAGATTTGTATCCAGATGCAATTTCGGATAAGATGTGATGACACATATTTGCCTTGTGCCATCAAAGCTTTGAAAATGTTACGAGCCATTTGTTTCTACGCTGTGCCTTTGAGATCTGGAAAGGGTAGCATGTAACGTTTTGAATTTCTCTGCTGCTCAGTGTTTCCTCAGAAATACCAGATTTCCATATCCTCTTAACAAGCTGGCTCTTGTTCCTTCCAGTGGGTGTTTTCCCCATACTTATTTACAATTTTGGAAGCAGCTTTTAAAAGAGCAATTTGTTGAGACATAAAATACAAAACAAAACCTAACATTTCTCCCTGCTGTTTGCATTTGCTTCCCCATCTACACCACTTTCTTGTCAGCAGTCAGCGCGTCTTCTTTTTATGATCTGCTATGTAACACCTAAGGTGTTAACTAATGAGCTTTTCTTCAGCTCTTTGAATTATGAGGAGTCATAGTTATCTCTCTAAGCTTCAGCTGCTTTCTAGGAAAAATGGAGATCAAAATCTTTACTTCTGAGAATTGTTGAACACTATGAGATAATATGTGCCAAGGGCCTGGCGTGTTAAAACAGGAGTTCAATAAATGCTAGCTCCCATATCATAAAGTCGGCAATGGAGGACTGCAAAAGCAGTCAGAAAGCACACAGCCAGCGGTATGCTCAGTTCTGCTCTAACACCACGTATACATTCCTAAAAATCACCACCCTGCAAAATTATGCAATGAAACCCACAAAGGTTATTGGAAAACAAGCTAGAGGCCAACATTCAAAAACCTTCTCAGAGATACATTTTTTTTAAAAAGCCTAATAAAAATGATAGCACAGTTTTGCACCTATTAGAAGGCTGAGATAAAAAAATACAATAAGTATGGCACTTCACCTTGGAAAAGACCTGAAGTGTTTGGAAGTAGCTGTCAGAAGGACTGCAGCTTGGAGTTATTGTGAAGTGGTAGAATGCAAGTATGGCTCATAATACACACTGTGAAGTATAGCTGGTAGATGTTTGGGATGTGAGTACATATTAATTTTGCATATTCCTCTCGGGCTCAGAAAGCTGTGTGCAGTCTTCTGCATTACCTGGTGGCTCTTATAAAAGAAATCCAAAAGCAAACACAAGTCTGCTCAATATTCAAATCATTCCCTATATATTACCTGCATTGGAACACATTCTTATTTTAAAAATAGGCATTATAGTAGAACTGACTGTACTTAGCTGATGTTGCATGAATGAATAGTGGATGATGTAGTGGAAGGAATCAGCATTATGCTACATTGTGGGAAGTACACTGGTATGTATTTATTTTGGAATTAGATTTTAAAAACCTTTTTTTTGTAATTTTAAAATACTACATCGCTAACAGAGAGCTCTTGATATCTCTTCCTGCAGCAGCTTTTGGTCTGTGCTTGAAAGATCCCCTTCAGGGACCACTGGGTAAAGGGAGGTGAGCTGCAAGGTTTCCTGCCCTCTTTCTCTACTTCAGCCAGAGCCTTCAGGGTTTCATGTTTTTTTTCTCTCTCTCTTCTTTCAAAGAAAGTGTTCTGCTGCTAATTTACACATCTACAAATGACCATCAGTGATTCAGTTGACCGGATTTTGTTTTACAAACTACTTCACTGGAATATCTTCTTTGCAAAAAAAGATAATCCTTAGTTGGTGCTATTGGGATATGCATACTCCAGGATTAGAATTTGACCAAGAAATACTCAAGTGGGGCTTCAATTACCATTTGCCTCTAAACTAGTCAGCAAAGCCTCTTCAGCAATGGTACATGTGGAGCTTTATATAAAATCCAATTCCAGTCAGGACAGATCTCAGATAAACTGGATGGGCATTTAAATGTAATGTGTTTATGGTGTTCCTGTCTCTTCACAAACACCAGCAGCAATTCTGTGATTTTCTTTCTTTTTTTGTCCCCAGAGAGCTGGATTGAAAGATGTCTCAACGAAAGTGAAAACAAACGTTATTCCAGCCACACATCTCTGGGGAATGTTTCTAATGATGAAAGTAAGTGCTTACAACTCGTTCTTCCATGAAGTCCTAGACAAAGCCAGGAATAGTGCTTCTAGAATGCTAAATTTGGGCAAGTCACCTGAAATGAGAGACTCTCTGGCCACTGATGAAATAGCCTAGGCTCTCCCTATAATATTCTGCAGTAGGGAGTGCTACCCAGTCAGGTGGATGTGGAAACCAAGGCCGTGGCAAACACTTGCTGTTTACACATTCATATTATCTGAGCCCCCAAAGACCCTATTACAGTTGGGCAAATGTCAATCCTGAATAGAAAAGGCTATTCTCCATGTCACACTGTAGATGTGGGTTTAAAGTAGGGTGTCATGAGATTGTTTTAGAGTGACGAATCTCCTTGCTGTTTGAAAGTAAAAACTTCTCCTGGACTTTGTACTAGAGAATTGATGTTAATAGGAAGATATAAATTGCTGTTTTCACACCTTTCCCTGAGTTATGACTGGGCTTCTGGATGACTTGTGATAAGAGTCACAAGTCACTTGGAACTTGTATTTGTCCCTTAAGCACTAAAAAAGGGGGGAGCTTATTATAAATGTCATTTCCATCAGGGACAGTGTGTCTTTCTCCCTTGGTTTGTAAAGTACATCTCCTTAGTGCAGTTTTCTCAAAGAATGGGCCAGCGACCACCCACTCCATAATCCTCATGGGGGGTGTTAGTATACTGACAGGCTTCATTCCCAAGTCCCTTTCAGAGTCCCTTATCTCTTTGTCATTCCATCAACACTATTTTGCTTCATTCTGTAAAACTGAGATAAATCAAACATAAAGTACACGAATCTTATGTGAATAGTTTGATGCATATCTTGTATCCTCTGTGTCACCACCACCCAGAGAAGAGAGAGAACATTTCTAGCACCCGGGGAGGCTCCCACAGGTCTCATCCTTGTCAATAACTACTGTCCTGAGTTTTTATCACTGTAGTTTGGTTTTGCCTAGTTTTGAAACATGTAAATAGACTCATAGACTCTGTATTCTTTTGTATGTAGACTTTTTCCACTTAACATAATGTCTGTGACACCCATCAGTGGTGCTGTTCATAGCAGTAGTCTTTTTCTTTTCCATGGCTGCATAGTATTCCACATATCTCACATCTTATGTTTCTACTTAAATGTTGATGGCTATTTAAGTGGTTTCTAGTTTCCAATTATTTCTTAAGCATCCCTGAACATTCTTTTTTTAGTATTATTTTATTGTGGTAAAATATACTAACATAAAATTTATCATTTTAAGGAGCAGTTCAGTAGTACCTAGTACATTTTCCTTTGTGCAGCCATCACTACCATCCATCTCCAGAACCTTTTTCATCTTTCCAAACTGGAACTCTGTACCCATTAAACAATAACTTCCTATTGCCCCTGCCCCAGTCCCTGGCAACTACTATTCTACTTCCTGCCTTGATTAATTTGATTCATCTCAATATCTCATGTAAGTGGAATCACCCAGCATTTGTCCTTGTGTGACTGGCTTACTGCACTTAGCATAATATATTCAAGGTTCATTCATGTTGTAGCATGTGTCAAAATTTTCTTTCTTTTTAAGGCTGAATGACATTCCATTGTATGTATATATCACATTCTGTTTATCCATTCTTCCATTGATGGACATCTGAGTTGTTTCTACCTTTTGGCTACTGTAAAAAAATGCTGCTATGAACTTGGGTGTACAAATATCTGTTCGAGTTCCTGTTTTCAATTCTTTTGAGTATATACCTAGAAGTGGAAGTGTTGGATCATATGGTAATCCTTTGTTTAGTATTTTGAGGAACTGCCATACTGTGTTCCGTAACAGCTGCACCAGTTACATCCTTGCCAATCCATTTTTTTTAATAATAGCCATCCTAAAGGGTGTAAAGTACTATTTTGTGATTTTGATGTGTATTTTCCTAATGATTACTTATGTTGAGCTCTTTTCATGTGCATTGATCATTTGTATATCTTTGGAGAAATGTCTATTCAAGTCTCTTGCTCATTTTTATTTGAATTGTTTATTTTTTTGTTGTTGAATTATGGGAGTTATGTATATATTCTGAATATTACCCCCTATCAGATATATGATATGCAAATATTTTCTTCCATTTCATAGGTTGCCCTTCACTCTGTTGATTGTGTTCTCTGATGCACAGATATTTTTAATTTTTATGTAGTCCAGTTTATCAATTTTCTTTGGTTAGTCATGCTTCTGGTATATTACCAAAACCAGTATCATGAAGGTTTTGTCTATGTTTTCCTTCCAAGAGTTTTATAATTTTATCTCTTATGTTTAGGTCTTTGATCCATTTTGAGTTAATTTTTGTATATGGTCCACATTCATTCTTTTGCATGTGGATATCCAGTTTTCCCAACACCATCTGTTGAAAAGACTTTCTTTTCTCCACTACATGGTCTTGACACCCTTGTCAAAAATCCTTAACCATAAATGCAAAGGTTTATTTTGGGCTCTCTATTCTCTAATGTTGGCCTATATGTCTGTCTGTATGCCAGTATCACACTATTTTGATAATTGTAGCTTTGTACTAAGTTTTGAAATCAGGTGATGTGAGACCTCCAAAATTTAATTGTTTTTCAGGACTGTTTTGACTATGCAGAGTCCTTTTAGAGTCCATGTGAATTTTAGGATGGATTTTTCAATTTCTGCAAAAAAATGGTAGGATTTTGATAGGGGTTACATTGAATCTGTGGGTCACTTTGCATAGTAATAACATCTTAAAAATATTAAGTTTTCCAATCCATGAACACAAGATGTCTTTCCATTTATTGTTGTCATTTGTAATTTCTTTCAGCAACTCTATGGTTTTGAGTGTACAAGTCTTTTGCTTCCTTGGTTAAGTTTATTCTTAAGTATTTTATTCCTTTTGTTATTGTAAATAGAATTGTTTTCTCAACTTCTTTTTGGATTGCTCATTGTTAGTATAAAGAATGTAACTGATTTCCATGTGTTGAATTGTATCTTGCAACTTTGCTGAATTTATTCTAGCAGTTTTGCGTGTGGGTGTGTGTAATCTTGTCCAATTGCTCTGATTGGGCCTCCAGCACTATATTGAATAGATTTGGCAAAAGTGAGCATCCTTGTCTTATGATCTTAGAGAAAAAGCTTTCAGTCTTTCACCATTGAGTGTATTTGCTGTGAATAGCTCATACAGGTTTTTCTTATGTTGAGGTTTTCTTCTATTCCTGTTTTACAATTGTTTTTGTCATGAAAGTGTTGAATTTTGTCAAATGCTTTTTCTGCATCAATTAAGATGATAATGTGGGTATTTTGTTAATATGGTATATTACATTGATTGATTTTTCTATGTTGACCCATCCTTGCACTCAAGTATAAAAAACTCCACCTAGTCATGGTATATAACCCTTTTAACACATTGTTGAATTCTGTTTGCTAGTATTTGTTGAGAATTTTCATAATAATTTCAATATTCATAAAGGATATTAATCTGTAGTTTTCTTTTCTTGTAGTGTATTTGTCTGACTTTGGTAACAGGGCAATGCTTGCTTAATAGAATGAGTTTGGTAGTGTTCCATCCTTTTCCATTTTTTGGAAGAGTTTGAGAAGGATTGGTGCTCTGAATATTCTGTGGATATCCTCTTTTGTGAACTACCTGTTCAGGTCTTTTGCCTGTCAGGTTTTTTTTTAATTGTGCTGTTTTATCTTTTCCTTAATGATTTGTAAGAATTGTTTTTATATTTCAAATAGGAGACAATAGGAGAAGAAAGTACTGCAAACATCTCTTAATTGGTGGTCTGCCTTTCATTCTCTTAGTGGTATCTATCAATGCATGGAAGTTCTTAGTTCTAATAAATGTGGTCTATCAATGTTTTCCTTTTATAGTTAGTGATTTTTGTTTCCTATGAGAAATCTTTGCCTACGTCAAGGTCATTAAGCTAATTTTCGCATTGTTATCTAGAAGAAATTCTACCTTTTACTTTTATATCAGCAATCTACCTGGAACTTTTATATACAAAGTGAAGGAGGAGTCATAGTTCTTTTTTTATTTTTAATTTTTGACTGATAGAGCACCTTTTGTCAAAAAGAATATCCTTTACCCACTGATCATGAATGAGCAGATCGTGTCATGTGCTTCTATGTCTTGACCTTTATTCTGAACCATTGGCTATCTATTTTTGGGTCACCTTATTACTTCACCTTTATAATTAGTTGTGATATCTGCTGGCATAAGATATTTCTTCTTCAAGAGTGTTTTGGTTCATTTAAGTTCTTAACATTTCCACACATATTTTAGAACCAGCCTGTCAATTTTCACATGCACACATGCACACACACACAAAAAAACCTTCCAGGATTTTGACTGGGATCACACTGAATCTACAATAAATTTGAGAAGAACTGACATCTTACCAACATCAAATTTCCAATCCATGTATGTGGTATTACCTCTGTGTATTAAATGGCCTTTAATTTCTCTCAGTAGATTTCAGTGTAGAGATTTTGTACATCTTTCATTAGCGTTATTTCCAGGTAACTGATATTTTTTAGTATTATTATAAGTAGTATTATTTAAAATATTTTTCTAATGGTTATTAGTTGCTGACATATGAAAATGTAATTGACTTTTTAGATAATGAAAAAGTCTCCATTCACTTTGCTAAATTCACTTTTAATTATGAGTTTGGGTTTTTAAAAATGAGAATGATGGTAATTTTTTATCTTCTTTTATAGTCTTTATATTTTTCTTTCTATGTGTTAGTGCACTGACTGGGACTTCTAGTGCAATATTGAGCTGAAGTAACAATAGTAAACATCCTTGTCTTATTCCCAACCTAAGGGAGAAAAACATTAGTGTTTCACCATTGAGTATGATGTTTGTTGTGGATTTTTTGTATTTACTCATTATCAAATCCCTGGTTTGCTGAGTGATTTTTCTTGTATGGGTTTTGAACTGATCAAGTGTTTTTCTGCATCTTTTGAGATGATCATTTGTTTTGTCCTTTATTCTATTAATGTTGTGAATTACATTGATT